TCACTGAATGACATCCAGTAATTTCTAGCGGGGACCAATCAGAGGGCTGCTGAATAATTTGAATAATTTATCAAGGCCCACGGACGCGGTTCTTTCACTTGTAAAGTAGCCACTTACCACCGAGCCGGTGGCACACGATGGGCGAAAACATGTATTTCACACCCATTGTACGTCGACATAAAGCGCTTATACATTACAAACAGAATTTTCGTAGGACTGTCATTACTTTAGTTTGCAGCATGTGTATTGAGAACGAGTATCTTCATAATTCTGCTGGCTGTTTGTAGAAGAACGGCACAAAAAACAGTTTTCAATACCAACACGACTTAGCAGATAACACGTAATGAAGACCACTTTTTACGCAGATTGTAGCACTACGTAATGTTACACAAACTAACAGTAGATGTTTTAAGGAATTCACAGAAATGACAATGTCAATGATAGATAATGTAACGCATATACATTATACAGAACAAAATAAAGAGTAACAGTAATGTAGTCGTCTTTGGCCGGGTATTGCAAGTTATAGTACGTACATGTATCGGTTCAATATAATCTTTAACGGGTAAGTTGACAGCAACAAGCAAGATGCATAGGTTCTATTACTTTTGTAGCTCACTTGCGTCTAGATTTAGGACGAACCCATGTTACTTTTTCGCCGCAGTTTTTCATGTAGTGGTTACTTCGACAGCCTTTCCGCTGACGCAAACATACTAGTTTGGGGTTCCACAGTTCTTACAACGTTAGCGCTTGAAGTGGTGTTTTCCAAGTTTGTTGGTCTTTGTTGGCTTGTTGTCTGTCATTTCCCTCCATTTTTATGTTTGGCGGCCCGTCTTCGATGGGTTGGGTTTGGTTCACAAATCTCGGCTTCGCTAAGATCCGTTCCTTCCCGTACGTAGTGGTCGCTCCATTAGCGCTAGTGCAGCCACATTTGAATGTGTAAAACTTAATGTCTACAGTCCCGTTTTGATTCGTTCATCAAAGTAGATTTTACTAAGGTATGACTTTACTAACTGATTGTGGAAGTACTAGTACTTAGTACTGATGTAAACAAGAAACAATATACGCGCTCTGGTTGACTTCATGGCATTTACATGAAACAAGGTGCTAATCGCCACTAGTCGGTGACGCGTCAGCAGCCCCATGATTGGTCCCCGCTAGAAATCTACTGGATGTCATATAGTGTACACGGGGGGGGGG